GGGTCTCCCTGCCTCCGCCGGGCACCGGGAGGGGGCACCTGAGACCAGGGAGGGGCCTGCCCCAGTCCTCACAGCGCCCTCACCCTGGAGCCGCCTGTGTGCCCCCCACAGCCGCTCGCTCCCACACAGCAGCTGCCGCCCGGAATTCTGTGTGGGCCCCGTGTCAGGGTCGAAGCCTGGACGAGCCAGGTGCACACGGGGCCGTGGGTCCGAGTGGGGACCCCGAGAGCTGAGTCCCCAGACAGGTCAGCTCAGATGTCCGTGAGGTCCAGGCTGGCGCGTAAAAGGCGGCGGGCGGCCTGGCCAGTGTGGCTCAGGGGACAGGGTGTGGGCCTGCGGACTGGAGGGTCCCGGGTTCGATTCCGGTCAAGGGCATGTACCTGAGTGTCAGGCTCCGTCCCCAGCTCTGGTTGGGGTGCCTGCGGGAGGCACCCGATGGATGTGTCTCTCCCATCGATGTGTCTCTCTTTCCCCCTCCCCTCCACTCTCGAACAACCAATGGGAAAATACCCTCAGGTGAGGATTGAAAAAACCCACACAAAACAAAACGCTAAAGCTTTTCCTTTCCAATACGGCAAAGTGCTCCAATGGAAAAATAAGAAGAGGTTCAGCCCCAGCGGAGAGGCAGTCAGAGCTCGGAGCTCCGTTTTGAAAGCAGGGGTCCTGGCATCTGATGCATGAGCCACAGGACGGAACAGGAAATGGAGACATGGCCTGGCCGGTGGGCTCAGTGGATAGAGCACCGGCCTGTGGACTGAACGGTTTCAGGTTGATTCTGGTCAAGGGCACGTGCCCAGGTTGCAGGCTCCATCCCCAGTAGGGGGCGAGCAGGAGGCAGCTGATCAGTGATTCTCTCTCCTCATGGATGTTTCTATCTCTCTCTTCCTCTCCGAATGGTTATCATCAACAAATCAAAAAACACAGTGCTGGCAAGGGTGGGGAGAAAAAGGAACCCTCTTGCACTGCTGGTGGGAATGCAGACTGGTGCAAGCACTGTGGAAGACAGTGTGGAGTTTCCTCAGAAAATTGAAAATGGAACTCCCATTTGACCCAGTAAACCCACTTCTAGGACTATCTCCCAAGAA